GAGGTTGGAAAATGTTCCATAGCTGTTACGCAGGTGCAATATACATAAAATTTCACCCAGCTGTTCATATTATGTAGGTTATTTTTAAAGGGGTTATATAAAAAAAATACTGTTCTAAACATTTGCTTTCTTCATCCACATCTGTAGCTTAGGCATTACCTCTGTACAGTCAGCTTAAATCCATATTGATTCTGAACAGATCCTAAAGCTGACCCAGCTTCAAATACATGTTGATAACTATATTATTTCTCTCCATGGAACATGCTTTCCTTTTGAAAAAAAGGACAAAAAACAATCCTTGTTCTCTATAACTGAGTAATCTGATTGCCAAGTTTAGTTGCTTCCACCTCCCAAACGTCCCTTCATTCTCTTTCTTTGCTCACTGCACTGCCTTTGTTTAGGTAGCCATAATTTCAGCTTGAGTCATATCATTATCTAAGTGACAATAGCTAGGTTATTGTTTGAGTACCTGGGAACGATAGCCTTGCCATAGTGACCCATAAGATTGACCATCAGATAGCCTGGCACTTCAGTGCCCTGGCTTTTCAGTACACGGAGGGAAATGGCACCTCATCATTCCCCCAGATGAATCTGGTGTCTGTCCACAACCAGTTCATGCTTAGAAGTAATTACCTATTATGTGTCTTGTGGTGCAGATGGTCATACCAGAAGGGCACCGTTCTGGGACCCAGTCAAGGAAATCAAACACCATCAGATAGATGAGTGCAAGACCAACCTGCAGGAAGTTCTCATCTGAGCGTCTAAGGCACCATCAAGTGCCTTTCATCTTTTTCTCAGGTTCAACCTTGTCAAGATGATGATGACAACCCCTAGCTGGGGTCCCTGTCTCAGGCTGCCCTGTATCTGGGATGAGGGTTGAATCATTCTTATGCATTACTTGGATCAAATCTCTCTCTCCTCAAGAACTGAGAGCTTCTCGCTAACTGCTAAGTCAAGTCTAAACTCTTCTGTCTCACTTCCGGGCTCTCTGTGCTCTGACCCCTCCCTGGGTGACATAACAGCTGTGTTAATATTTTGGAAGATCTGACAAAGAAGAAAGATTAGTCTGATTTTGTCCTGCTCCAGCAAGCAGAAGATACCAGCTAAGGTGGAAATTATAGGGAGAATTAAGTGCCTCAATTTACACAGAAATGTTCTTTCTTTGGAGCGTGGGTGGGAGGGCAGGTGTAGTGGTAGTATTAACTCACCAGTCCAAGGCAGCAGGAAGGAGCACAACGCCGCACATCCAGTGAGTACCAATTGTGTGAAATTTTAACAGTTTAGACACAATAGTGCCTACCAAGTCTTCCTAATCAATGGATAAAGACAGTAGAAGGAACAGTTTAGATTTTGAAGAGAATAGATGTTTGTTTAATGCTTTACTTTCGGGTGGCAGATTGGAGTTGTAAAAGCTCTGTTGGCCATGCGGACGAAATAGGCTCTTCTTCCAAAGGCAGCAGAAACGAAAGAATGACAGGACCCCAGTGTGGAAGCAAGAGACTGAACTCGCTAACACATGGGCTTCCACACACTGACATTGATGACCCTGCTCTGCAGTGAGCTCTCAGAGAAGTGTGGAAACCTGCTAAAGGTGCTAAAGAGTGAAGTAGGGTGTGAAGCAAGATGACTTCTAGGGAGCCGCCCAGCCCTGATGTTCTTGATTGCCAGCCTCTGCCCCGCTGTGCCCTAACCCGCACCCTCTCCAGGTGCGTCTTTTTCAGTACCTGCCAGAAGGTGGCGCTAAACCACATCCCCACTCAACCTTTTCTCCCAACCAACCATAGCAGTGTTTTGATAATTTATTATAAAGAAGCATCTCGGACTTATATGAATAAAATATTATTGTACATTCATATACTAGGATGCTGTGTGGCCATTTACAAGTGATAGGAAAATTAACGTGGAGGGATGGATACCATATTCTATTAGGTAAAATAAGCTGGTTATAGTGTTTTCATATTTGAAAATTAATACAAAATTTACACATGGAAAAACTAGATTATATGTACATTAAATGTGATATTTTAGGCTGGGGTGTAGCTGAGTTGGAGCATGCACACAGGCCTGGGTTTGGTGTCCAGTGATGAGAAAAGAAAAATTCATATTCTCTGGGTAATGGGATTGAAAACATTTCCTTTTTATTTATCTTTTCTCAATTTTATAAAATTAGCATGATTCAACTTTTATTGGCTTTTACAAAAGTATTTTTTATTCTGCTATCCATTAAAGCCACCCTCTTTTTAGTTAACTCTGACCTACACTTGCCTTTTGTCTCTAAAACTCATTGTTAAGCATTATAATCCAGTACGTGGCAATCCACTGCATTGTGTTACTGCAAGACTGGCTCACTCATGTTGGTCTGTGTCACCAATTAAGTAAATGTTCTCTGACTGAATTGTGGCTTTTCCCCTGATACGCGGTGCTCTGCAGGAATTGGCCCTCAATGGTTGCCTGGCACTGAGTCTTCAAAGTGTCAGAAAACCTACCCAGCTTTCTGTAATGGCTGTCGACCTGAGCCTGCCACTGAACACCCACATTTCTCCTGGGTACATTGAGCCCCATGGAACTGATCCATGTGTCCAGTCACTGGCTCTCTAGGCTGCTGCTTTGACCCTGTCAGATTATTTTTGTAAGTCTCCTGTCAGGACTGGGACAAGCAGAACCTGACTAGAGCACAATTGGAGGTTGGAAAGTCATTTTGTATTTTCTCATTACTTGTGAACAGCATTAAAGCTGAAGGAGGCTGGGCAGGGTGGTGCACGCCTGTAATCCCAGCACTCAGGAGGCTGAGGCAGGAGGATCGCTGTGAGTTTGAGATCAGCCTGGGCTACATAGTGAGTCCCAGGGCAGTCTCAACTACATAATGAGTCCCTGTCTCAAAAAACAAACAAACAAAAAAAGTCTTCAGTAGCTACTATTCTTTCAGAAATCACCTCACATCTTTTTCTTGTAGAAAAAAACCTTATTGCTATCATGGCTACTGTGTACCAGGTACCATGCCAAACAGAAACTCTGCAAAACTGACTACAAGGATAAGGTCTGGAGAGACACCCCCTCCCCACTTTTTGAGACAGGGTCTTGGCTATGTTGCTAAGTGGCCCAGGCTAGGCTTGAACTTGTGATCCTTTTGCATTAGCCTCAAAGAGTACTGGGATTACAGGTATGTGCACCACGCCTGGAGAGCCATCACTTTGTTCTAGTTAGTCTGTGCCGGAAGGTGGCTATTCACTTACATTTGTACTTGGAAACCTTCTGAAATCGCGTCTGCAGTGGTATCATCACACTCTTTTTATTCCACAGGCAATCCTGACTCCATTGGCCACCAATCAACACTATTAACATCTCTCCTTTCCATCTCTAAATCAGAGAGGCAGCATAGCTTGTCAGTAGGACTGAGAACAGGAGCTCCTGCTGTTTCCTTGACAGTTTTCTTCAAGTGTATGCAGACGTGATTCCCCATAGATGCTTGAGAGGCTGTCAGATGGAAGACAAGATTTATTCTGTAACCAGATCCTATTGTTCCTGCATCCCTCCATGGCTCCAGTCTCCTCGCCAGTCTTGATCCAGACCACCACGCAGTTGGATGGATTACTGCAATAGGCGTCTGACCAGTCTGTCCACCTGTCCAGTCCTGCTCTTCTAATCCTTCCTCCAGAGAGCCTGAGTGATCCATCTAAATGGTAAATCTGATCACACCGCCTCTGCTTAAAGCCCTGCAATACTTGTGCACTGCCCCTAGGATCAACTCTGAACTCCTTAACACTGCTTTACCCCTGCCCAACCCTCCAGCCCCACACCTTGCCTACAATGCTTCGGCCCAGCCAACTACCTGCGCACTAAACCCTAAGCACATCTTATTGTTCGACCTCCAGGTGTTTGACCAGAACACCTTCTCTCTTCTTCACCTGTCTAGCTTGTCTTTCAGGTATCACGTGAGATGCCACTTCTTCCAAAAGCCTGACAGGTTACCCAGGAATAGACTGGGTTCCTTATATCCTCTGGAGCGTTCTAGGCTTATCCATGATCTTCAGTCATTTATCTTGATATTTTAAATGTTTATATATATTTTTCACTCCAGACAATAAGCTTCTTGAAGGCTGGAATTGTTTCATTTATCATTGTTTCCTTGACCCTAAAGGTACACTCAGTCGTTTCTGAATGAGTAAATGACAGATGACCTAACGAGGATGATCAGCGGGATGTATTTCTATGCTATGTACCGGAGAACTTGCTGATGACTGGTGATTTCCCCAAGAGAAGCAGATGGACCCACCTAACACTAGTGTTTCTGAAGGTCTCCGGGCAGAGACGAAGTGGCTATCAGGCAAGAGCTTCTTCAGTAACAGCACATTGGTAAACGTGCCCTCAACTCACTCCCTCTCTGCAGGGAGAGCGATTCCCTTCTAGGGTAGAAAGGTCTGGGTTGGGAGTCTCTGTTCTGTAATTACTGAGGCTCAGAGAGCCCCAGGCCTGTCTGAGGTCCCTTGTGTGTGAAGTAGATACTTGCACTGCCTATTTCGCTTCTCTGAGAGGACCAAATGAGATCACATAAGCTCCAGTTCTTTATAAAACCCTTAGCCAAATGGAATGTGTTTATCACACAATCGTGAGAGTTTGCGGTTCCACTGAATAATTTTAATTTTACAATACAGTAGAAAACCAAGTGGCATGTGGAAATTTTCATGACTCAGGCAGAGGTGAGAGTTAAACAGAAGAGATCTCCTCTCCTATGCCACTACTGTTCAAGATAAGAGGCACTAGGAGCATCAAGAGCTGTTAAAGGAGAGGGTGTCACAGGCCCAGTGAGACGGGCATTGGGCAGATTCCTTGCCACCTACTACAGAAACGGGAAAGTCTTCAATTATCATGAAAATCAGCATGAACTGAAGCCAAAGGCATCCTCAGCAAACCTCCCTTTGGGTCCCTTGATTTACACTTCAAGTCAAAAACAGCTGACAGTACTTCACTTCCCCTTTGGTAAAACAAACCCAATGAAACCATTTAATTCAAAGGTTTTGTTTTGTTTTATTAGGAACCAGGGGCATGTGCTGCTCAGCCCTCTGTGAACTGTCCAGAGAAGGTCACCAGGCCCAGGATGGAGAGGTTGCTGGAGGTGCTGTGGTGTGCTCAGATGCACCTGCTTAGGGCCCGGAAGGAAAGGTGGCAGCAGCAACAGGATGGCAGGAACTGGTGCTAGCCAAACTCAGGAGCCTGGAGAGCCCGCAGCCTTTCTTCCAACTCTACTCAAGGCTGCAGCATGTCAGGAGAAAGAATATGGCTGGAAGGCAGGATGCAGCAGTGCTGTGTGCACCCCTGGCTTTGCTTGGTGCTCTGTCACTTGCCTGCCCGCCTCTCTTCTTGCCGTCTAGTGATTAGGTATTTGAAGAACTCATACACAGACCATGCAATGGCTGTGGAGGGGATCTGGTAAATTACTCTAGCCTGCACTCCTCGGAAGTAGGCGGTCACCCCGCCTACTTGATATACCGTCCTGAAGGCACTAGCCATGCCTGTGATGTGTCCTGTAACGTTTGAGTTCAAAGCCAGGGATTCCTGGGTGTTGAGCAGTGTTTTGCAAACGTCCAGTGGGGTCGTGGCAGCAGCAGCTACAGCTCCTGCACAGGCTCCGGAGAGGACATGGGAGCCAGGGTTGTACCGTCTCTGAGGGTTAAAGTGCTCCTGCAGGAATTCATAGGTCATGAAGTGAATGGCTTGGAAGGGAACATTCATGGTTAGCTGGGTGGTGTAGCTGCGGTAAAAGGCTCCGGCCCCCTCATTTTGCCACACTGCCCGTACACAGTCTGTCACCCGATGATATGGTGAGTTGTACATCTGCATTCTCTGCTTGATCACTGGAGTTCCATAAAGGAGGAAGGGAATGGTGACAGCAACCAGCCAGTGACCAATTGTGTCCAGACGCAAGGTCCCGAGTCAGCGTATCAGCCAATGGAATGGAGAGAGAAAAAAGTATGAGTGAGCTGCCAGTTAACGTGGTAAGTTCATGTTTCCCTTTTTTGAGGGGTGGAGGAGACAGAGGGTTGGTAAAGAGTAAAAATTAATGGGTCCACTCCCAGGAAGATTTCTTTGAAACCAGCCAGTTAACACACAGGATATACCTATGGTCTAATAACTCCAGAGGATCTTCTTCAAATTAATACCTATTATTATCTTATACTTTTATAACCCCCAACAAGAAATGACTCAGTGGTAGTGGACACAGTAATGAACACAGAGCCCTAACAAACCCAGTCTTCAGGTGTGAGGTGCACCTAACTTCTTTTTTCTCCCTTTGATACCAGGGATTGAACTCAGGACCTTGTGCTTGCAAGGCAGGTAGTGGCACCACTGAGCTAAATCCCTGGCCCCAGCACCTAGCTCTTAAAAATCTTATAATGGTTATTTTCCCAAAGGGAAAGAAAAATCGCTACCAAAAAGATTCTTAGCCAAAAGGAGTTCAGCTTTAGTTTCCAAACACCTCCTGCTCTCTCAAGTACAGGACCTGGTATAAGTTCTGTGGATCTCCAGATTCGATTTGACCTTTTTACCCCAGGGTCTTGGCCAGACAGACACAGAATTGGAACATACAGAGCACTGCACTATCATACCTGTTTCAGTACCTCAGTATCTTAGTGAGAAGGTTTTTGGAGAGTTCTCTTCCAACTAAAGGCCAAGGTCAAAGCAGATATGCAGGACCTGAGCTCTATAATCTTTATTCCTATATCTCAACTGTCTTCATTCTAATAAGGCAAACTTTTAGTTTTTGTTTTGTTTTTTTTTTTTTTGGTGCCGGGGATCGAACTTGGGTCCTCATGCTTGCAAGGCAGGCAGAGGCATCGCTGAGCTAAATCCCTGGCCCCAAGGCAAACTTTTAAATGTTAAAATCCATCTTCATCTCCTGAAGTAAAATGAAATAACCTGCTAAACTTTCATGAGATCAAATATACTACAAAGGGAGGCCCAGGTACAAGCCTCTACCACCATCCCCCCCAGAAAGCCCCACCCCATGAATTAAATCCTAATAAATGTTTCCTGTCAAGGGGTGGGGGTGGGAGAAACCCCGGCCAAGTACTAAAAATATGGAGGGAGCGCCCTCTAGTGATACAACAAAGCAACATGACATGATTTCCCACCAAACCTGACGTGCTCTTTTTTCTGCCAATCATAAATAAAGCAAAGACCGAGGCATGCAGATGCAGCTGGCCAGAGGGACAGGTTGAGGAAGCACTACCTTCTGCTGGATTCATGGCTGCATCGTGAAGTAATGTTGCCACACACCCGGCTGCACCTGCAAATGAAAAAACAACTGCCACATGTAAGGCCAGGAGGGGGTGACCAATTCAATGAGGCCCCCCAAATGATGGGGAGTGGCTGTGCTAAACCACAGTGAGCAAAGGAATGTTGTTTAGAGCCAGTCCAAAAGGAGAACCCAAGGATCCTGAATACCTGTGCCAAGAAAGGAATAGACTTGTTCTCACCAGTCTAGTAAGGTCATCAATACAAACACACCCAAGACAGGAAGGCCCAGAAGAGGCAAAGAGAACAGCCCAGATTTTATCAATACAGATGGTATTAAGATTAAATGCAGGGCTGGGGATTAAGCTCAGTAGCATCGCACCTCACAAGCACAAGGTCCTGAGTTTGATCCCCGGTACCAAAGGAAAAAAAATAAATGCAGCTTATGCCCCAGAAAGGAAGCAGATACACTACCAAAGGAGGTCAACACATCGAGTTGGCCAGTGTAGGAAAGACACAGGGTTCTTGTGGTCGGATCTTCACCATAGAACCCTGCCATTCAATCCTGCTGCCCTTCAGCTTTGCAACCCATCTCCAAATTTTAACATTTGTCCACCCATATTTTCCCTTCAAGTCCTCATCTACTGTATCCTCAACTCTCTCCCCACTCAACTTGGTTTTAGGCAATCTTGAAACCCTGAGCTGCTATCCATCCCCTCCTTTGCTTTCCCAACCTCCAACCTTCTGCGTTCTCCAGACAGTCACCTAGCCCCCCGCCCATTCACTTGTCAAGGCTTTGCCACGTCCTCATGACAAACTGCCTCTGGTCAGCTGGGATCCTGAAAAGGTGAGGCGAAGAGCTGAGGCTCCATTAGTGTCTTCCTTGGGTGCCTGGGTCACCTCCAATCCTGCCCTGAGGAGCAGGACAGCACCTAACTATCAAGAAATATACAATGGGGGCAGTTCAGTCTATGTCTCCACAGTTGATGCCAGGAAAAAGTCAAGCTGACAGGTAAGGGAAAATACTGTAACCCTTTGTTGAGATGCCCCAAAGGAGGGATGGGGTTGAAGCAGCCTGCTGTCTGAGAACATCAGGTTTGGAAGTCCCTCCCTATAATCTGGCCTACCCCAGCCCAAAGTTGTAGCTCCAAACCATGCCGAGACCAGGAAGCACTGGCAGCAGGAAAGCCCAAAAAGCTGGGAAAGTGGGGGAACCAGCACAGGAAGGCTCAATACCATTGGCAATATGGCTATTGCCCCCTGGGTGGATTACATCACTCAATGTCTTTTTCAACTTTTCGTAGCAGGCAAAATAGAGGGCGTGGGCAGGCCCTGCGCCTGTTGCTGTGACGTTCAGCCCCCGCATGGGCCTCCATAGGCCCTCCGTTCTTATAATCCTCCAGAGGGCCTCCAACACATTGCGATAGCGGGCGGCTGGGTCAGGCTGTAGACTCTGCATCCGGGTCTGAAATCACAGCAAGGAGAAGTGCAAGGTCAGTGGTGCCAACTTCTCACCTCAACACTTGGGCTTTGGGAAGTGGGCAGGCCTTCTAGATGGACTGTGCCAGTGTGTGGGAGTGATACCTGGCATCCGACTTTACTTCTTCCCAAATCTGTATCTTACCTTTCCAAGCTTTGGACCTTTCCTCTTCTAGTCATTTGTGAGCCCAAGAGTGGAACATCATTATTTGTCCTGAGAATATTACTACTTATTAATGATTTCTTGCCCCAGCAATATATATCAAGCCCTTGATGCAGAAGTTGTTTTTGTGCCTCAATAAAAACAAGTTGAGTTTTTCAAGTGGAAAAATTCAAGTACTCACCCTACCACATACTTTATGCTTTATTTCTAAACACTGACCTTAGCCCTCATTCTTCACCACACAATATACTAGTTCATGAGATGGTGGGTTATCTTTTGATGCCTTTTCATATTATTTGGCATTGCTAGCTGGGTCTATAAGTTAGTTATGGCAGAAGTAATGTTCTTAACAGATGCTGCTCTAATTTCCTGGGAAAGAAAGTTTGCCCCCAAAATATGAAAGTAGTGTCTAGCTGGAAACCAACCTAGTCTCTAAAACTAAAAGGGCCTTTACATTTTTTTGTTTTTGTTTTGCTGTTGTTGTTTGAGACAGGGTCTCACTAGGCAATTCTTGAACTATTCTTGAACTATATAGTTCAGGCTAGTCTTGAGCTCACGGTGATCCTCCTGTTTCAACTTCCCAAATGTTGGGATTACAGGTGTGTGCCACCATGCCCAGCCTTATATTTCTTAACTAAACGGACTGAATCCAAAAATTGGCATCAGTAAATAAAATCAGTCCCTGTGAAACATGATCCGTGGAATCTCAGGATGATTCAGTGATTGGAATGAGTATATGGTAAAAACATGTATGACATTTCCAGGAAGCTTTACTGAAATTTAGGAAATTAACCTTGCTTGAAACACTTCTCCAAATCAGACTCTTTCCAGTATGTCTCCCCACAAAAATTTTCATCTACCAACCCATTTCAGTTACAGTACAGTATCCAGTGCCTGGGACACAGAAGATACTTACAATTTGCTTGTTTAATGAATGAATATTTTGTGACACAGCTGTGTGTGCAGAAATTAACAAACAGCACCACTGATGAGCCAAGAGGGAGAAAATGATGACCAGGTAGTTTAAATGTCTTTGTTTTAATCACTAGCTTCAGTGCAGCTTTAAATTTTGAACTTTCTGTTACCCAGCTGGAATCCAAGATTAATAATACCTCTTCTCAAGGGACTGGGAGAAAAGAAGCTAACCAGATTAACAGGTCCTAGTTTGCCACAAGCAATCCACATCTCTCTAAGAGTTTTCTCCTGCCTCCTTCCAACACAAAAACTGCACTTAAAAGGTTAATTTATTGGATGTTCAATTAGAAATACACAGTATCATTGATCACAACTGACACATTCTTTTACACTTCTCAAAAAGATCCCATGAATTTGCAATAAAGGGTGTGCTGTATTTAACAAATGTGTATTTAAAGTGGGCCTGGTGGCTTAACAATTATGAGTTTCTATAAATTTGTCTGAAACTGATCTTGTTCAGGGGAAACATAGAGAAATTGCATTGCTCTCCTGTAGTCAATGGCATATTTGGCAACGAGTCCTGAAAGTTCTGGTCTCAGGCCTCAAATTCTTCATCCCCAGCAGAAAACTAGACTGTAGGTAAGTTACTCTGAACATTTCAGACACCTATCTAAATCTTACTCAGTAATATTAACTCAATGAAAATACACTTAGACAGAGGACCTGAGTATAAGCTATGCAAATATGAAAATGAATATGGCTGCCCAATTTGTTGGCCAATAAAACTATCTTTCACAGGGCCAGGGATGTGGCTCAGTGGTGCTGTGCCTGCCTGGCAAGTGCAAGTTCCTGAGTTCGATCCCTGGCACCACAAAAAAAGAAAAAAAAAAAAAATCAAAACTACCTTTCAACAAATGATGACATCTCTAAGAATTTATGAAAAGCCTTCATTATGAAAAACCACTGCCTGGGTGTGAAGAAAGCCAAACAAATGAGCACAGATAAGAGGCTTATCAAGACAACCCGTATTTGAGTCAGAAAATGTGAGCCGAGTCCCCAGCTTTGCTAGATGTATTGTCTTCATTATGTCACTAAACCTCTCTGAGCTTCGAAGTTGTCATCTATAAGGCCAAAGGGCTGGCTCCTCAAGCTGCTGTGGGGATTAAAAGAAATACGGCATGTAAAACCCACTGGCAATTCATAAGGTGCTGTAAACATAAGGCCTTTATTGCATTAAAATAGGACTGTGATATATTTGTTCACCTGCAAGAATTTACAGATCACCACAGCATTGCCTCTTGTATAAATCATTTCACAAATAGGCATGGACAACTAACTGGTCCTTAGCCACTATTAAATCAGGTTTAATTTTGCATTTTTTGTTTTTATTGTAAAGTTTCTCTGTGGCTATAATGACTTACATGTTAGGCTGTTAATCCGAAAGTCATATATTCAGAGAGGAGCTCCCTTGTGAAATCTTTGCTTTCTTTCATTCTAGAAGACTGCTTTTGGGAAGCTACAGGGAAAGCTTTTGAGTCACACAGACTGGATACAAATCATGACTCTGCCACAGAAACTGTGATTGGACAAGTTATTTAACTGTTCTCTAAGCCTCCCTATAAAATAATGAAAATGGTGTCTACTTCATAAAGTTGTTTCAAAAATTATGAATAAATATGTGCAGGTATTTCAGACAGTGCTTGGAACACAAGAACAATGGTCATTTATTGAATATTTAACTATTATTATCATATGCAAGAAAAACAAGCCAATGTTTCCCTTTCCTAACCTTTTACTAGTAAGTGAGTCTAACTATTTACATCTGGAATTTAGAAAAGATTTTTCTTACTCGCTTTTTAACTTTTAGGTAAGCTGCTATTTGCTTTACCATTGCAGAACCAAAGAGAGCAACTTGGTAGTAGGTGAGTCCTTAGATGGATGATTTTGAGGATTCAGAAAGCTTTAGGTTGAAGTCTGTCCCTACAGATAAAAGTCTGATGCTTGCTCCTGAGGGTTAGAAAAGACTAGGATTTATCTGGGTTCCCAAGCCTCCCTATTTGATTATGGAAATATATGTGTGGATGGCCATGGCCAAGCAAGGCTGTGTTGACTTCCCATGATCCCGCCCAAGGATATTTTAAGTCAGCTTGACCCTGATAAGTGGCTGGGGATACAGAGGCTTGCATGCCAAGAGGCAACATGAGCTTTCATTTGCAAACACTGTGGTTGTCCTTTAGACTCCAAACCAGATAGAGACCTGCCTCAAGTTTTAGGGTAAGCTTGGGCTGCTTTTCCTTTCTATCATCTTTTATGGTAAAAGAATAGCTACCCAGGGAGAAGGTAACTCAGAAACCCTTTCTAAAGGATAGGATATGATTTTTTTTTTCATGCTCCCACAAAAGCATTTAACATACAGACACTGACTCATACTGGTCTCCCCTCTAATCATTTAAATCCCAGAATTAATGACAAGCAAAAATGATTCTTCTAAGGTAAGCTTTTGTATTTTAAGACTCCTGAGCATTTTTCCTTCTGATCAAATAATTTCCTTTAATGTAGGGCTTTGAGGCACAACTCTAATGTTGTATGACTGATTTTTTAAACAAAAATTCCAAAGGTTATGTAGATGAATTAAGGACTGTTCTTCAAAATAGCTACCTTGGAAGGATAGAAATGACTTAATTCCAGTATTGCTGTAGTTTTGCAAAACTTTCTGGAACTCTTTTTTTTTTTTGGTACCAGGAACTGAACCCAAGGCCTTGTGCTGGACAGGCAGGCGCTGCACCACTGAGCTACATCCCCGGCTGGGACTCTTGTACAAGTGTTCCCTCAGTGGGTTTACAGGCCTCAGAAGTAAATCAATCATTTTACTTTTCAGTCCCACTTTATCCTTAATCCCCAACAGTATTACCTATTCATTTTGAGTTTTCACCTTATTTGCTGTATTTGATCCTGTGTGGTCTCTGTTCCTACAAAATCAATCATTTGATTGATTTGTTTGTCACAGGACAAAGTTCTGCCCCTATTAAGGATACACAACTAACTATTCTAAGGGCATTTTAAACAGGAATTTATAAAATGCTTGTAACAACATTATATAAATATACAGAGTAAGGAGACAGCCTCCAATTGCAGTTGTAATGAACAACAGTTTAAACTGATAATTTGCAATAACATTTATGTCAATCACATTATTACATTGTTTTCCAAACCATTCAATAATATTTATTGCTTCCCCTGATCTCTTTTTCATTTAATATTCATCTTGGAGCATAATACCGTAGACCCTGTACTCTATTCACAGTAGAAGTGGAAATGAGATCATATTAACTTTTGGATATGTAGCATTGTTAACTCACAGTCAACATAGTCTTACATAAATACTGGAATCTTTTGTATTTATATATTTTACATTTCAATAGTTATTTCTTTCACACAGATTTTACTATTTCTCTCATTTGACACAAGCATTTAAAATTCTAATGTTCACCTTAGTTAGTCAAGCGCACGTTACCACATTTTCCCTGGATATGGCCTTTGTTAGGAGTTATCTTGTAATGTGCTAGAATACTCCTGCCAACTCGATGTCATTTACAAAGTCTCAGGAACACTTTCCCTATTTCCTCACCCATATTACTAACGAAAACTTGAAATGGTACTGGAACCGTGGAAGAGCAGAAGAAACCCGCTTTGCATTGTCCAAGCTGATACTCTCTTCCTTTTGAATATATAATATTTTCCTAATCTGAGAAGAAAACATACACCGAAGAACTGCCAGGCTACTGCCATTGACCATTACCATTAACACGTGAAGGAAGCACCAATCTCTTATCATATTTCAGCAGTCACTTGGAGTTTATTTCCCCCTAAATTTAGATCTCGCTTTTAGTGGTTGGCATCTTTACTAATGTACAGAGATGAAAACTATAAAGAATGATAATCTTTTCCCATCTTCACCCAACTTTCTTCAGGAAATTAATGTATCCATTAATCATCTTGTTTGGCTGCGGACGCAGTTATTACTTTCACACTAATTATGTCATCGTGTTGATCTCAGTTCCATTTTCTCCACTTACATGTACTTTCTTATACCAGCACACTTCCCTTCTAAGCAACATTTCCTTTCTTGTCAACTTCAGGCGCCCAAAGAAATATACTCTCAGTTTCACTGCTCTTGTGAAGGGGCTGATGTACTCCCTGAACATACAGTCTTAATCCCAGCTCAGTTTTTATGTTCAGGAAATAAGTGGGTCATCACACTGGTGTCACACAGAAACTGAAACCTTTTCCTGAACACAGTCTTTGCCATATGACTTCCAGTCTGACTTTTGACTGCACAATGATTTCCAAACACTCATGGGTTAAGATTTAATGTGTCCTTTATCTAGCTCAAAGATCCCAGACTCTGGTTTCTGTCCGGTAACTTTTAAGTGAAGACACAGCAAGAAGCCTGTAAAAGCACCTATCCAAAGAACACCTCAAGTCATCAGATCCAGTCTGATTCATGCTAGTTGGCTTCACCTTAATCGAGTTAGTAGCACTTACCTATGCATCGGGTATAGCATAGGTATAAACCTATTCCTGTTTAGTCCCAACTGGGATCCAGGGCTTTGGCTGACAGATTTTTTTTTGCTCCTGAGTCCCGATTCAGATCTCACTGACGGTTAGAAATAGGTCCTGGTTCCTGACTAGGCTTAACTCCCAGCCGGGACCTTGCTTGAATGGCATATCAGTTCGAATCGTGTAGTAGGCAGGAGCCAGGAAGTAAACCAGTCGGCTACGGCTCAGCCGGGATCCTGGCTCTAGACAGGACACAGGGTCGGGTCAGGTTGGGTTCGGAGCCCGGTCCAGGTCTCACCTTGACGCAGTCGATGGGATACATCACGCAGTGCTCCAAGATCCCTGCCACAGCACCCGCCACCATGTGCGTGGTGACAGTAGCTCCAGCCGGCAGCGCCTCGTAGTCCGGGCCGGAGTCTGGATCCTGCCGAA